CGCTCTTCCGATCTATTTTATATTGCTACAAATAAATTTTCTGGGCAATATTATCCTACTATTTCTAACTGTTTAGTTTATATTACAGAACTTGCAAATTTGTTTGCTCATTTTTCAGAGGGCAGGGAAATTTATAAACTTGTTATTGATTCTATGAGAAAAAAATTTTAAAAATGTTTTTTTCCCTATTCCCCCTATTTATGGTGTTGCTGCTTTGTTAAATCCTTCTATGAAAGGTCCTCAATTTTGGTATGAAACTGTTTATAAAAGTTTAGCACTTGAAGATGAGGAGTTGTCTCAACTTCCGAAAGCAATAGCCTCAATTAGAATAAATGCTCAAACTATTTAAAATGCTTATCAAGTTGCATTAGATCATGCTAGACCAAATGTTCCAACTCCTTCTTCTTCTGATTCTCAACCATCTAAAAGAACTGCGGGCGTAAGAGCACTTAGTGCTTGAGCGGGGTTTAGGGGTTCTCAAGGTTCTAGTAGTAGTGATTTTTCACAACTAAATGAGCTTGAAGTTTATGTGTCGCAGGGAATTGAAGAAGTTAATCCCGACGGCGCTCATTTAATCTTCTAGAATGGTGGAAGGACAAAGAAAAATACTTTCCGGTTCTTTCAAGGATGGCCCGAGACATTTTAACTATTCAAGCTTCAACAGTGGAATCAGAGAGCGCTTTGAGTCAAGCAAGACGTCAACTCGGTGATATAAAGCGTTTATGATGGAGATCTTGGAAAAATCAGTACTTTTCAGAGATTGGATCCGTTCGGAAAGAAGAAATTTTGGACTTGCTGAATCACAACCAGAGGAAGACAAGCTTACGAAGAAATGCTAGCTGAACTTGCGGAGGATGCTGCTTCACTCGGAAGCGGCGATGGCCAAGCTACTTTTCCGCCACCACCAACGAAAATTCCTCCAGGCCTTGATGGATTTATGATGTTTTTAAGAGATACCATGTAACTTGTATGAATAAAAATTAGTATGTATTATGTAATTTATATTTTGGCACATCTTGATTAGTTTCTTTTTCTTCTCAATGGTGGTATTAGCATCTTCTTGTGCTCATTCCACAGGGGAGGAAGACTAAAAAAGATATTGCCTTATTTTTTTAATGCTATAATAAAATTACAAGGCATTGCTTTTGAATATCTCTTTACAAAATTTTTGTCTTTAGACTTTAAATTTGAATTAAAAAATTTAGGTCACAATTCTATAATAAAATTTACAAGGCATTTCCTTAGATATTTTTTTATCATCTTTTTGTCTCTAATTTCTATTTTATTTTATTTTTTAAAAATATCCATTGGACCCACTTAACCCGCGTGCCGGGACAGTTTAGCCCGGGACCATGAGTTCGTGGCCCGGTCCCGGGCCGGTTCCTATAAAAAGATCATTTGGACCTGTATCGTTTGGCCCATTTAATTTGGGACCGGCCCGGGACTCTAACATTTGGACCGGCCCACTTGGCCCGTTTAGGCCCAGGACCGGCCCACATGCCAGCCTTAGTTCATACTTGGTGAGGATGCACATAGAAAAGAGCTTGAAAAACAATTCATTTATTTTCAAACCGACCCATTGACTATCTATTATTTGATTGAGTAATCCTTGTGCATTCAACAAGCTTGCACAATGGTGTAAAAATATTCTTGTCGAGGACCACATTGCTGTAAAAATCAATTATGTTCTCGTTGACACTCCCTGTATCCTCGTCACATCAACATATGGTTTGACTCCATCCTTGGAGAAACTATTACAATCACAAGCCTAATTAGATGTAGGGAAATGAACTTACATTGTCACGTCCCGATCTTGGGGAGTTGGGCCGGCGCTCAACCGAGGTAACCCGGTCAAGCAAGCATGCCTAGTGCCTACCAACCAACTTTTTCATGATTAATTCAAGAATAAATACGAAGAAATAATCAAACAAGAGGATAAAATGTACAATGCCAATTTCATTGATCAGGAAATTTCGTCTATAGAAGGCAAAATAATACAAGTCCGTAGTTTGTGAGTGAAATCAACTGACAAGAACAACGCTAATAGTTTTTTCCCCATTCAAAACACGACCCATAGTATGTCTACAGAGCCTTTAAATAATATGAGAATAGTATGAAAATGCCGGTGACAAGGACCCGACTATACCTCAAAATATTATACAAGTATCAATACAAAGATAAGGACCCAATATAGAGTAGGACTCATCGAATCAACTGAGAAGATGGTACACCTATCAAGAACCTATGATGCCTACAACGGAACCACCTGCATCCATTAAAGATATAGTGTCACCGAAAAAAAGGGACGTTAGTACATATGAACTAGTATTAGTATGTAAGCTAAGCACCCTCACATGGAATAGAATACCAATATAAGGAGATATAATCATGAGAATATGGAGTAAATCAAGAGTAATTAAAATTCCATGTTAAAACATAAAAAAACAAAGGTAACATAAGTAAAATCCTCAAATAGACATTATCAATTCGGTTGGGAGATCATTAGCTACCGATACACCACCATGCACGTGGCATGGAGTCCGATCTCAGCTCGATTGGCTGAGCTGTCTCACCACGATGTGTGTGGTTCAACATGATAATATGAATCTAATATAATAACAGGAAGGACATACCACATGCTCGTTCCATGAGGTCTGATCTCGGCTCAGTCTACTGAGTCCGATCTCGGCTCGATATGCTGAGCCATCTCACCATGATGTATGTGGTTCGTCATAAAAATATAAAAAAGGAACCATTATGTGCGCGGCATCGTGTCCATCTCTGCTCGATCGGCTAAGATGTTTCCCCACAACGTCGTGTGGGTCGACATGGGAGCATGGACTGATGCTAGCAATAAGTTCATCCCAATCAAAGGGAATAATCTCATCATAGTTGTAACGACCCGACCGGTCGTTTTGCTTTCTAGAACCCCGTTCACCTGAATAAGACTTTCCGTGCTTGTTTTTACTGATTTATAACTTGCGGGGATGGTTAGTTCGGGATTTGGAAGAGTTTGGGTTGAAATCGGAACACTTGGTTCCTTAAGGTTGGCCTTTCAGGCCAAGTTTGACTTCGATCAACATTTTGATTAAACGACCTCAAAATTGGGATTTGACGGTTCCAACAGGTTTGTATGATGATTTCGGACTTGGGTGTATGTTCGTATTGGGTTTTGGATGACTCGGGAGCATTTTGGCGCATAATAGTGAAAGTTGGGTTTTGAAGGTTTTTAAAAGTTCTTTAAATTTGGTTTAGAGAGTGTTTTGATGATATTGCGCTAGCGCGCAACGGCTGATGAAAAGCCAGCAACTTGTTACGATTCAGTTTTGTAGGTCCGGACGGAATTCTGAGACCGCAAATAGATCCGTAATGTCATTTCAGACTTGCACGCAAAATTTGGTGTCATTCCGAGTAGTATAAGTACGTTTCGGCGCATTGGAAGCAAATTGAAGAACTTGAAGTTCATAAGTTTGAATCAATTGGTTTAGGGTGTGATTCCTAGTTTTAATGTTGTTTCGGGCATTTCGAGGGTTCGAGCGAGTCCGTTTTATCATTCCAAACTTGTGGGTATGTTCGGGCGGGGCCCCGAGCGTCAATCAGACGAAGCTCAGACTAAGTTGGAAAATTGAGCAAGAGCTGAATGCCCAGCTTCTGTCATAACCAAACCTACGGTTGGTCAGCCGCAGATGCAAGCACGCAGGTGCGGGCCCTGACTCGCAGATTCGGCCAAGGGTGGGCAGCCCAGAACCGCAGATGCGGCCCTTCCTCCGCAGAAGCGGTGGCCTTCCGCATAAGCGGCCCCAGCCGGCCCAGTGAATTTCCGTAGAAGCGGACCATTGTCCGCAGATGCGTGGGCGCAGGTGCGGCCCATGACCGCAGGTGCGGAAATCACTGAAGGCAGTGGCCTTAATTTAATACGGGCCTTAGACGTTTTTGACTCATTTTCACTCCATTGTTGGGCGATTTAGATCTTCTTGAGAGGGGTTTTTCACCAAGCTTTTGGAGGTAAGTAATTCCTACTATTTGTGAGTTAATTACCTAGATTTTGGGTAGATTAACATGTAAAGATTAGTGAAAATTATGGGATTAGAGGAAAAACCTAGGGTTTGTCAAGAATGAGATTTTTACCACGAAATTGACCATTAAACTTAGTGATAATCATATATTTATGTTCCTTAGGTTATGGGTAACAACTTCCTTCGAAAATTTCCAGAATCCGGGCACGTGGGATGGGGGTGAATTTTAGGAATCTTACCTTTGGGGTTGGATAATCACTTTAATAGCTAGAATATAAACTTGTGAACCTATAATGATTGGTTTTTACACTATTTGAATAGTTTCGGATTGTTCGGCTCCGGTTTGAGGGTTTGAGCACATTCTTGAGTTGGAAGTAGGCTCGAAACGAGGTAAGTCTCTTTTCTAACCTTGTAAGAGGGAAATTTCCCCATAGGTGAACTTAATTAGTATATGATTAATTGTGGGGGCTACGTACGCACGAAGTGACGAGAGTCCATACATAGCTACTATTCTTGTTATGTCCGGGTAGGCTTACATTATGCTTTGTGGGTACCGCTATATGATTATATTTGTTGATTTGCATTGAATGGAATTAAGTTGAGGATTTCATGATTTCAAAGATTTCAAGAAAATTATTATTTTGAAAAGAGTTGAGGAAACATTACGTTATATTTATATTTAACCGTGTCACAAGTATATTCCGCGAGCGGGGTGATTATTTCCACTACTCTCATGGGAGCGGGTCGTTCGCCTCAGCAGGTTAATAAATGTATCTATGGTTCGGGTCGTTCGACCCTCGGTAGTGCACAGTTTACTTTTATGTGAGATCAGGCTGAACGTCCTTGATGGTATTTGTATGTGATAATAGAACCGGAACTCCTTATAATTCTTATGATTTGTTGCTTGAAATGTCACTTGTTTTAAATGAGGAAAGTGCCTTGATTTCTTAATTTGATGAAAGGATTTTTAGTATCATTCTTGTTTGAGCTTGTTGTTAACTACTTACACTGTGATTTAAAATATTGAACTTCATATTATTATATTGCTAGCCCTAGTAAGTGTCGGAGTCGACCCCTTGTCACTACTTCTTCGAGGTTAGGCGAGATACTTACTGGGTACATATTTTTTTGTACTCACGCTACACTTCTGTACTTGATTGTACAGGCTTTGAGGCAGGTGCATCTGGCCATCAGTCCGGCACGTAGATTTGACTCCTCAGCTTGAGACTTCCCGGTAAGCTGCCCTTTTGAGGATAGTATGGTTTTGTATATTCTACTAGATTTCCCACACACTTGTGACACCAGGTCTTGGCACACACATTAGGAGACTTATGATATTTGGTTTACTTTTATGATTTAAATTCGTATTTATTACTTCCATTTAATTATGCTTAAATTTTAAACTCCTAATTTCTTTATCAATAAGGAGAAGTTATCACGTTCCAATTGCTTAATAGAGGATTCACTAGTTGATTAGTGTTGGCTTGCCTAACAACGGTGTTGGGGGCCATCACGGCATAATATAAAATTTGGGTCGTGACATTAGTGCAATGAGGATTCGTCCCCCAATCATCTCCTACACCAGCACGTGTAGTTTCGGGCTTAGGCCTTTACAACCCACCCCTCCTCAGTGATCTAACGATACTCCCATAAATATTTTTTATATATAAAAGTAAATATATTCACCTTATAGTTTTTCATAGGAGAAATACATAAGTACTCACCTATCCTATGGCCCAAATCCCCCTTACACACAATCTGTGGATGATAATAATATTACACACGCAACCTTTATAAAGTGTAGCCAGTACACTCAACTTTTTTCTTGACCAGCTGTGAGGTCACGCGCCAAACAAAAAAGAAACAAAGCCCCCTCCCCTCATCTTCTTCTGACCCCCCATACCCGTCGACCTCCTCCTCTAAACTCCAACAGCCATGGCAAATCCCCACGAGAACAAAATATTAACATGAATTTTCACCATTTTTTTAGTCTATAAAATTTTCACCATTTTTTAGTTTCTTGGTTTTTTTTGTTTTGTTTGTTGTGGAATCACCATTGTTACCGATGGATTTGCCACTGTAACAGTGGCCGAAAAATAGAGGTCAACATTGTTTGCCTTTTTTTAACCAAACGAGACCAAATTTGAACGAAGAACACCAGCTTGCCGAAAGATCTTATAGCCCCACCCACGCGGAGAAGATCTGAGCTCGTCGACCATGAACTGACAGTTGAACTAATGACCTGGAAATGGAGTTCTCGGCTTGTTGCTTGAGGTTGTTGCTGGTATGACGAGTTATGGCTGACATCTTCTTAAAGGAGATGCAAGAGGGAGGAGATGAGGAGGTTGCGGTTGTCGCTGGATTCCGGGGACGATAAGGGCTCCAAATAGGGAAGAAGGGCCTGGATATCTTTTAATTTTCATTTAACTATTAAATTAACAAAAATAAGGGGATAAATAAGATTTAGACATGTGTTCTTGTATAAGGACTTGGACAGATAATGCATTGGTTTGACGCGCCCATTTTATTTGTTAAACACGCGCGTGCTATCTGGAAAAAGTAGTGTATATTAGGTACAATTTTAAAAAGTTGCGTGTGTAATATGATATATGTCCTCAGAAGTGTGTAAGGGGAATTTGGGCCATAGGTTAGGTGGGTACTTATGAATTTTGCCTTTTTCATAAAATCTTTCGTTTCATTGGCACTCTTGGCCATGCATGATAATCTTCATTCTTGTCACAATGGCTACATATCAAATGTTTTCTTTCTTTTCATAAATGTATTGAATCATAGGAAATCATAAAAATTCAAATCATTGGAAGGCCATTACTTTATATTCATGTGCATATGACATATCAAAAGAAAACGCTACAACATTTTCAAAGAAAAGAGAATTGGCATGGCAATTAAGAAATATTTAGAGTATGATGAGAATTTGGTAGTTCCAACATTGAAACGTTATGGCTATAAACACATAAGTATATGAAGCTTAAACATTTAACATAAAATTCAAAGAGTAGGGCATAATGGCGGCAAATATTTTCCCAAATGAGAGATATATAATAGAGGCAATTGGAATATGACTTGAGTACATAAATATTTGGGTAATTCAGTCATTAGAAGCAATTCAGAACAATAGAATTAAGAACTTGAACAAACCATGCTTGGAGTTCAAAGTGAAATCATGAAATCCGGTTCTATGGAGGGAGTTTAGCCAACATACCTCAAATTCGGCCCTTAATGATACTATAATGATCCACTATACTAAGCAACTTCAATCTACAATAACATCAAATGGGACCAATATTAGTAACAAATTCTATAATTTAGGTCATTTAGGCACTTTATCAAACACCTAGTACGCATAAATCTCTACAACTCTTAATCGTAGAACTTGTGCATCCAACTACTACCATTTACCAATAATTTATCTCACTATCATCTTTAAGTAATTTATAACTTCCAACATCACATGCATGTCCAACCAACCACACCAAACCAACAAAATTCTATCAAATAATCACCCTTCAATCTCTACAATGGCTATGAATTTAAATTGTAAACTTATGGCTTCCAATCACCATCCCATAAGTTCTAATACTTAATTCATACTTGTACATTCATCTAAGTGTAAGGGTGTAGGATTACCTTTTGGAATAAATCTTGCAAAATCCTCCTTTGAGTTCTTGAAGAAATTTCTTGAAAACCTAATGATTTCACAATGCATATAGTTAGTTCTAGTGTAAAATTCATGGAATAAAGTACCAAACTAGTGGGGATTACTCACCTTGAAGGCAGGAGGAGTTAGGGGTCTTAAGAGAGAGGAGAGGAGCTCCAAAAACCGGCTAAGTTAAATGGGAGAAGTGAGCTCCCGAAATAGCCCTTTTAAAAATAATGATGACCGTACGTACCTACGCACGCGTCCTGCGTACCTACGCAATAATCAAATCCCTAAAGCCCTCATTTGTTCCCCATTCTGTTTTCACCTATGCATGTTGCGTAGCTCTCATGCATAGCTACGAAACTGTGTGGCTGCACAGCTACCTTCCGGTAAAAGGACCATAACATTTTGTAGGGATCCTCGAATAACGAACAGTTTAAAGCATTGAAAATTAAACTTGTAGAACTTTCATTTTATAGGTAGTACATCACATAGATCTTTATATCATGGGAGTTTTGATCATTTAAAATCAAGTCTTGTGCAAACTAACTTAAAACTTTAATCTATTTCCTAGTTCCCAACTTGGCTTAGTTCTAGGGCCCTCCTTAGATCCTAAACCACATCCAACACACCTCCTACATTTATTATCATGATCATCTAAGTTATTATAATGTAAAATCTCTTGCGGAAGGCAAAGCGGAAATTAAGCGACTCACGGGCGTGCATTATGGCCACATACTTACAGGATATTTGAGCGGCCATACATACATACTTGAAAAAAGGGTGCTTAAGATCAACCTTATGCACCCAATTATTAAGGATCTTCAGTCGAGAGTAGCAAAGGATCCAAAGATATATTTGAATATGTCTTTCAAATCTTAAAATGATGAATTGTTCTTTAACTAGTATATCTCTTTGTGTCACGACCCAAAACTCAATCCGTCGTGATGGCGCCTATCGTGGAACTAGGCCAGCCTCAACCCAACACAATCCAAAATCATAATACTAAAATTAAAACATTCATGGGAAAACTTTTATCGCTTAAATAAACTGTTTAAAACATAAGGCAAAAATCATATCACAATACAACCAGCCCAAAACCAGGGTGTCACGGAGTACATGAGCGTCTGGAGAAATAGCATAGTCTACTACAATGTTTACTGAAACACAACTAGAATAGAGATGGAGGGTCAAGGCCTGTGAATGCCATGCAGATACCTCAACAATCTCCAAAGCCTGCATCCTCGATCAATAACTGCCACTGGGACTGAAAATGCTTGGATCTGCACACAAGGTGCAGGGGGGTAACGTGAGTACACCAACTCAGTAAGTAAAAAGTCCAAACTATGGAGTGATAGGTAGTGACGAACGTAACTTCAACATGAAATAGAAATAAACTGTGGAGAAAAATAGGCATGATATCACTTCGGGAGTACAGCTCAACAGTAAAATAAACATAGATATGTGCAATATAAAACATCTCCAGGGAAATCCATCCTGGAACATAATCATCGCTAACTATAAGTCACTCGATACCGAGGTAAAGGGTAATCCAACCCTGTGGAGAAATCCATCTCCAGATATCAATGCTTCGAACAAATCCATGTTCGGGGAAATTTATCCCTCAAATATCAACTATGCTCACTGGGGGTGTGTTACAAACTCCTGAGGGGATCCTACAGCCCAAGCGCTATCATAATCGTCAACATAACCGTTGCGCGTGCAGCCCGATCCCATAACTGTCACTCATAATTAGGTTCTCGGCCTCACTCAGTCATCACTCTCCAGTCTCACACACACGGGCTCACAATGCCATGAAACTAGCCCGAAACCATGGTATGATGTGCCAAATAACAACAACTGAGAGACATGATATGATATTCATAAATAGGACTGAGTACAGAATATCAATGAATCTAATGACATGACAACAAGAAATGACCACTCGGGTCTCAACAGTATCGGCGTGAAGCCCTAACAGGATAGCTAGCATGATTTGCTGCACATTTACCTAATCACATGATAGAAACAAGGATGTCAGCAAGAAAGAGTCACTACGCGGTGCCACCGAATGAACCAAGCCACAGTTCTCACGGTGCACGCCCGTCACTTGGCATGTGCGTCACCTCAAGTCTATCATATAGCACATAGCTCAAGGTTTCGAACCCTCAGAACCAAGTTTGGAAGCGTTACTTACCTCAACCAAGCCAAGATCCTACTCCCCTATGCCTTTGCCCCTCAAATCGACCTCCGAATGCTCTAAATCTAGCCATAAACAACTCGATACAATCAACACGAGCTAAAAGACTCAATCCCATAAGAAGGTACTAAGCTTTAGGACAAAAGTCAAAAAGTCAACTCAAAAGTCAGGCCCGGGGCCCACGTCTCAAAATCCAAACAAAGTCACAAAATCCGACAACCCATTCGATTACGAGACTAACCATACTAGTTTCACTCAATTCTGACTTCGAATCGTCTTCCAAATCCCAAAAGTTCATTTTATGAAACTCCATAAATTTTCCCCAAATTCTATCCCAAATTACAAATCAAATGATGAAATCAATGATAGATTCATGATTATTAGCCAAAACCGAGTTAGAATTACTTACCCCAATGATTTCCTTGAAAAAATCCCGAAAATTCGCCTCAAACAGAGCTCCCAAAGTCCAAGATGTGAAATAAAACCCTAAACCTCGTTTATATAGTGCTCTCTGAACTTCCAGTCCGCGGTCCGCATATTTCTCACCGCGGCCGTACAATCACTACTGCGGTCCGCGTAATTCCATCGCGGTCACGAGTCCTGAGCCAACCTCTACCGCGGTCCGCGTGATTCCCACAGCGATCGCGAATCCTGAATCAACTCCTTCCGCGGTCCACGAAGTTCCCATCGCGACCGCATTCTCCTACCACGGTCCGCGTAATCCATACCGCGGCCGCACTTCCAATGATCCGAGACCTGCAACTTTCCGACACCAGATATCAGGTATTTTTCCAACTCCCAAGGCTAAATAGTGATCCGATAACCACTTGAAACTCACCCGAGGCCATCGGGACCTCGACCAAGCACACCAACACATCCCCTAACATCATTCGAACTTAGTCGAACCTTCAAATCACTCAAACCAACGTCAAAACACCAAATCACACTCGAATTCAAGCCTAAGAACTTCTAAGTCTCCAAATTCCACGATGCAGAAACTTATCATATCACGTCCGAATGACCTCGAATTTTTCCCACAAGTCACAAATGACACTATGAACCTACTCCAACTTCCGGAATTCCATTCCGACCCTGATATCAAATTTTCCACTGCCGGCCCAAAATTGCCGAATTTCCACTTTCGTCAATTTATGCCTAATTCTACCACAGACCTCCAAATCACATTCCGGATGCACTTCTAAGTCCAAAATCACCTAAAGAAGCTAATGGAACCATCAGAATCCCATCCGAGGTCGTTTACACATAAGTCAACATCCGATTGACTTTTTCCAACTTAAGCTTCTAAATAGGATGCTAAGTGCCTCATTCCACTCCAAAACCACTCTGGACCCGAATCACCCAACACGATACGATAAAACACAGTTGAACAACATAGAAGAAAGTAGAAATGCGGGAGACAGACCTATGACTCATGAAACGACCAGCCGGGTCGTTATATTCTCCCCCTCTTAAACAAACGTTCATCCTCGAACAAGTCTAGAAACATACCTGAAGCCTCAAACAGGTGTGGATATCTGCTCCGCATCTCCCGCTCGGTCCCCCAAGTAGCCTCCTCCACGGGCCAACCTCTTCACTACACTTTCACGGAAGCTATATCCTTTGATCTCAACTTTCGGACCTGCCGCTCCAAAATAGCAACTGGCTCCACATCATAAGTCAAATCACCGTCTAACTGAACCGTGTTGAAATCCAAAACATGAGACGGATCGCCGATATACTTTCGGAGCATGGAAACATGAAATACCGGATGCACCCCCGACAAGCTAGGTGGCAAGGCAAGCTCATAAGCCACATCCCCAACCCTACGAAGTGCCTCAAAAGGCCCAATGAATCGAGGGCTCAACTTGCCGTTCTTTCCAAATCTCATAACACCCTTCATGGGCGAAACCTTCAGTAGGACCTTTTCTCTAACCATATTAGACACATCCCGAACCTTTCTATGAGCATAATTCTTTTGCCTTGACTGTGCTGTACGAAGCTGCTCTAGGATCACTTTCACCTTGTCCAAAGCATCCTACACTAAATCTGTACCCAAAAGTCTAGCCTCGTCCGGCTCAAACCATCCCACTGGAGACCTACACCGCCTCCCATACAAAGCCTCATATGGAGCCATATGAATACTCGACTGATAACTGTTGTTGTAAGCAAACTCCGCGAGCGGCAGAAACTGGTCCCATGAACCACCAAAAGTCAATAACACACGCACGTAACATGTCCACCAAAATCAAAATAGTGCGCTCGGACTGCCTGTCCGTCTGAGGATGAAATGCGGTGCTCAGCTCCACCTGAATGCCTATCTCTCGTTGTACGGCCCTCCAGAACTGCGATGTAAACTGCGTACCTCTATCTGAAATGATGGAAACCGAGACACCATGTAGGCGAACAATCTCTCGGATATAAATCTCAGCCAACCGCTCTGAAGAATAGGTAGTACACACAGGGAGTCTAAGTATGAAATCCATGGTGATCCGCTTCCACTTCCACTCTGGAATATCTATCTGCTGAAGCAAGCCACCCGCTCTCTGATGCTCATATTTCACCTGCTAACAATTGAGGCACCGAGCCCCAAACCCCACTATATCTTTCTTCATCTCCTCCACCTATAGTGCTGCGTCAAATCCTGGTACATCTTTGCGGCACCCGGATGGATGGAATACCGTGAGCTGTGGGACTCCTCTAGAATCAATTCTCGAAGCTCATCTACATTGGGCACGCATATCCGGTCCTGCATCCTCAATACCCCATCATCACCAATAATCACATCCCTAACATCGCTGCGCTGAACTCTATCCTTGAGGACTAACA